TTTTTTTTGCCCCTGAAACACCTTCGGACGGCCATCGTCCGTACGTTTGTACAACCGTTCGTCCGTCCGTACGCACGGGCCGTACGTAGACCCCCCGTGCGACGTACGAGCGACGACACTGAGAGAAAGTAATTGAGAAAATGCCTGTCAACATTGATTGCTCTGGTGTCCAGAGGATTAAATGTGCAGGTTCTTGAGAAATAGGAGGAAACCTCTTTGCCCTGTATCGGGCGGCAAATACTTATTGATACGTAGTAAGAACTAATTCCCCCCTCCCTCAGCTGCCCTCCCCACCCTGTCCCACAGAGGGTCCAACGTCACCTGCTGGAAACCGGGTCCAGCGTCCCATATACAAAAGATTCAGGATGACCTCAGATAAAGTAATTGAGAAAACGTCTGCCAGCATTGATTGCTCTGGTGTCCAGAGGATTAACTGTGCAGGTTCTTGAGAAATAGGAGGAAACCTCTTTGCCCTGTATCGGGCGGCAGATACCTATTGCTAAGAACTAATTCCCCCCTCCCTCATCTGCCCCTCCCCACCCTGTCCCAAACCCGACAAGCATCCTAGACCAGCGGCAGACCGCAATCTATATCTTTGCAGCGTGGACACCACACATGAAGGATTATGGGTTACCCACCTCAAGGTCATGCTTATCCCCTCAGGGTTGAACCTAGACCCTGACTTGGTTTGTTCGGTCCACTAGGGGGGGTCGAACGGGCGAACGGACTATCTCAATTGGTGAGCCCCAAGTGTACCTAAGGGAATCTGAACTTCTGAAGAAGAGAAAAAGAAGTAGAAGAGGAAGAAGATAAAAAAAAGTAGAAGAGGAAGAAGAGAAGAGGAAGAAGAAGAAGAAGAAGAAGAAGAAGAAGAAGAAGAAGAAGAAGTAGGAGAAGGAGGGGGAGGAGGACAAGGAGGAGGAGGAGGAGGAGGAGGAGGAGGAGGAGGAGGAGGAGGAAGAAAGTATATGCATGTTTGTTGCATCCGCCCTGCATAGCAGCACGGTGCTACAGGCTGTTAGTGCCTACATTGCCACTATGTGATGCCCAATCAGTGCAATCACCACCCTAAGACGATCAACATCTGATATGATAAGTTTGACGAACTAATAGCAAAGCACGCCTCAACAGCAACAACAACAAAAAAACTTAAACAAACAGAGAAACCTGGAAGTACTGAAAGTTGACATACCGCCTAACTGCAAGTGCTTTGAGATTCCTGAAATTCAAAGAACAAACAAGAAGAAAAGGAGGAGTAGGCGGAGGACGAAGAAAAAGAAGAGAAAGGAGAAGTATGTCTGTCTAACAATGTTTGTTGCATCCGCCTAACACGGCAGCGCAGCGCTACAAGGTGGCAGTAGCTACATTGCAACCCTGAATGGCAGTAAATTAGGTGATAGTCTTACGGTGGTAATTGGGTATAATGATGCCCAATCACCACCCTAAGACTATCACATAAGCTACTTCCATTCAGGGTTGGAGTCATTGCCCTCATCGTTATCCTCATCCCTGCTTTCCTCATCTATTCTACTCTGCTCACCCGTCGTCGGATCATCCTCGATGACTTGCATGCGCTTTCCACTCGTGTTCGAGTTTCTCTTGTTTTGTGGATGGTTTCTGCCCCCACTGCGTGTGGAAGGGCGGGATGTTGCTGCTGGTGGTGGAGGGTCAGGTCTTCCTTGTCCCTTTCTCGGTATGCCCCGCCCACGCTTCACAACTGGAGCGATTGGAGACTCGGGACCATTTTTTTTTTCCCTCCCCGCCCTGCTGATTTCCAAGTTGTCATGAACGAGAGACTCGTCCATCTCTGGAAAGGGAGGAGGGCAATCTACATATGATGGTTGTTGCGCGCCCTCTTCTTGCTGCTGGCCCTTCGGTTGGTCATGTTGTTGCCCCTGTTGCTGCTCTTGCTGCACGATACACTGGGTGGGCTGCTCCTCCGGTTGCATGGCATGTTGTTCCTTTTGCTCTTGTTGTTCTAGTCGCATGTTGCATTGATTGTGGCCCTTTTCATCCTGTTGTTGCTGCAACTGTTTTTGAAGGTCCTGCAACTAAGGCGGGTCTTCTTTCTGTTGCTTCTCTGTTTGTTGCAGCAACACCTGTACATGTTGCAGTTGGTGGTGCTGCTGCACCTCATTTGTGTGGAGTCCACCTGTTGTGCATGCAGAGGGAGGTGCAGATGTCGCTCCATGTGTGTTCACCCTTGTGGGAGGTTGCACAACCATACGTTGTGTGGCATCCTCTTCTATGCGTTGCTGCACCCTCACCCGATCCTTGTCTGCTAGGGCCTTTGCTGCTGCCCTCTCCTCATCATCAACACGGTCCCTCTCCTTCTCGCATTGACGCTGGGACGACAGAAGCAGGTCTGCAGCAAGAGACAACGTGCCCGAGTTATGATCAGATTTATCATTGTCCTCAGGTGGGAGCAGTTCACAGTCTGAGCCTGCATATGAATCCTCCTCCTACCCCCCCTCAACCTCCTCACCCTCCTCCCCCATTGGGGCCTTGCCCTTTGCGTCTTGCAATGGTTGTGTCCTTTTGCTCCCTTTCTCACTCCAGATTATGTCATCGTCGCTGCTAGATGCAACAGAATCATCTGAATCCAGATCTTTCGGAATCCTCCCCCTTGAGGTCTTTGTCAAGCGAGCCTGCCGTTGCAACTCCTCCTCCGTCATCTCCAAAGGCCCTGGCAAAATCGCACCATCATTCGGGGATGGAGGTTCGGGGTCGTCGAAGAATGTTGCCCACACATCAACCCACCCGTCCTTCATACTTCTTGGGATGCTCTGCAGCTGCATGTTCCAATGCACATAAACAAGTTTCGCCAAACTCTCGCTCGAGAGATTGTTCCTCCTCTTGCTGTGGATCAAGTCAAGGGAGGACCAATTTCTCTCTGAGGGTGTGGCTGTGCTCCAAACGTTTGTGACCCTTGTTGCGATCTTCTGCAGGTCCTTGTGGTTACAACCGTAAGTTGCCCACCACGGTGACGCTGTTTTGCAGGTCAAGGAGGCATCTGCTTGCCCGAATGTGTCCCACATGGGTTCCTTGAATCGATGCTCCCTAGGTGGCTCGCAGTGAAAAGCCCATAGGCTCTGCCACACATCGATGTGAGACTGCAATGCCCCCCACCTCTCCCCACTGAGTTGTGTTAAGAAATACTTGATAGCGTTCTGCATCAAGGGAGTTTGTCTGTCCATTACCCATCTAGGGTCCCTCCTGAGGGGGGAGAGGAGAAAGTTGGCTGCATGCGCCGGTTGGAGCATCATCCTGCATCGATCAACGACGACTCTCATTATGTCCTCTTGCTGCTCCACCGTAAGGCCACCAATGCTCCTCAAGCGGCCCTGAAGCATCTCATCAAACCCCCACAATTGTGAGGGCGCCAAACCATCACTATCCATCCTTCTTAGGAGCTCGTTCACCGGCCTCATAACCTTTACAATCCGCTCCACTTCTTCCCACCACTCATTTGACGTGACGGTCAGGTAGATCTTGTCAGCCTTTTTTTTTAACTTCCTTGTGCTCCAGTGGATTTCCCTCCACCCTTTGTCCATCATTTCATCAAGGACCCACCGCCTATCATGCAACCGCTCCAACATCTGGTACGTCGATGCGAAACGGACCTCCGTTGGCATGACGAGTGTCTTTGTCTCCTCTAGCGAGCACCTCGCATAAAGGGCAACTGTACGATGGTGGTTCTTGATGAACCTCACCATCATTTTCGCCCTCTTCACATGCTTCGCCACCCACTGCAGATTTGCAATCTCTTTCATCAGCAGACTGAGAGTGTGTGCAGCGCAAGGCAGCCATGGAATTTTGGCAATGTCTGGATCACTCCGCCTTGCTAGAATCCGGGCAGCCCGCTTGTTAACTCCAGCGTTGTCGGTGCAAATCGCGTTGACTCTGTGCACCCCAATTTCTCTCATGACCTCTTCCCACAATTTTGCAATTGTTGTGGCGGTCGCTTTCCTGTGCTGCATGTCCACCACCCTGAGAAGAACAGCCCCACCTTCCCCTGCGCCAATGAAGTTGATCACGGGCCTCCACTTCCTGTCCATTGCCCCGTCGGTGATCAGCGTGCATCCACTGATGTCCCATTTATCAATGATTGGCTGCACTGCTTTCTGCACTTGGCCGTAGACCAGGTCCAGAACCACTGTCCAGATGGTCTCTGAAGATGGCATGTCCATAACTGCCTTTGTGGCTCCGAGCTCCATCTACAGGTTGTGCAATGCCCGTGTCTCATCGACTCGCAAGAAGTTGAAGGGGACTCCCGATCGGAACAATACCCTCCCCCACTGCGCGTCCAATCTCTTTTGTGCGGTGTTTTCCGCCCACCGCCGGATCGAGGCTTGCCTTGAAAGCTTTGTTGAAGTGGATGAGCCTTCGCCGGACTTTCCCACCGGTGCAGACGCTTATCCGTTGTTTGTTGCATCCAACACGGTCCCTTGACGTGCCTCTTGCACTGCACTCGGCTCTCTCCCTGGCGGCTGGCCCTGGTGGCGGACGAAGATGCTCCTCCAACTCAGCAATCTCATCTTTGTCTCCTCCAGCAGGCTCCATTCCAATGTCCTCCACGATTCCTTTCTATGTCCTGAACTGAAACAGCATCTTCGTGGAGGCCTCCCCGACTATATTCGCCCCTTGTAAAGCGAGCTCGTGCAATATCTCGCCAGTGCGGTACGGGCATGGCTTCCCCTTCTTCAAGAAGTGATCCATCGCCTGAGTCTTCGATGCAGTAAACTGCTTGTTGCACAGTCTGCATCGAACCCAGTACTGGTCGTAGCCCTTCGGCTCGGTCGGCTGCCCCCTCTCTATCCATCGGTAAATGACGGATTCATTTTGCAGTTCCATTTGCTTCTCCTCCATTTGTGGTTCAAAAGGGGGCTGAATGGACGGTGCACTACTCTTGGCCTTTGCCTTCTCAGCCCCCTTTCCCTTCTCAGCCGACCATTTGCACGACTAGACGACGCCATGATGTAGGGAAGAAGAAGAAGAAGAAGAAGAAGAAGAAGAAGAAGAAGAAGAAGAAGAAGAAGAAAGAGAAGAAGAAGGAGAAGAAGAAGAAGAAGAAGAAGAAGAAGAAGAAGAAGAAGAAGACGAAAAACCAAAGCAGCAACGGTAAGTGGAGTTGCAGGGAAAAAACAAGCAAACAGAACCCCAGTCAGCGACAATCGGTTGTGAGCAACTTAGCAGGACTAAAAAGGACAGGAAAAAAAAAAAAAAACAGACCGAGGCTCCGACGGCATGATCTGGACCACGAAACTCTTTTACATCTGGAATAGGAAAAGGTTAAAGATGTGGAACTCGTTGCCGTTCTAGAAGCTGTTCACAATCTGCAACAGCAAACTGCTCTGGATTTGGAATACAAACCAGTTCCAGAACTGTTTGTGTATCTGCAGCTGCTCATGACATAGAACAGGAAGTTCCAAAACTCGTTCCAGATCTGGAACGAAAAAAAATCCCGATCTGAAACAGGAACAAGTTCAAAAAACTGGTTCTGGAACTGGTTCGTGTTCCAGATCAGGATCTGTTTCCCATTACAGATCCGGAAACAAACTCAGCAACTTCCTGTTCAACATCTGCAGATACGAAATTGGTTCTGGGACTGCTTCCTGTTCCAGATCTGGAACGGTTTGCTGTCACAGATCCTCAACCGGTTTGCTATCACGAATTTTATTTTTTATTTCCCCCCCCCCCTCTCGATCATGTATCCTTCTCGTTTCACGAGTTCATGCGTCGGCAGTCGGAACGATCGAACAAGATGCATGAATATATACAATCTTTGTATGATTAGCACGTATCAAAGAGAGAGAGAGAGAGAGAGAGAGAGAGAGAGAGAGAGAGAGAGAGAGAGAGAGAGAGAGAGAGAGAGAGAGAGAGAGACACACTTTATAACATAGACAAGTCGCCATATGCCTGAGTTGCACTAAAAAAATTTGTCATATGCTCTCTCTATCCCTCTCTCTGTCTCTGTGAGTGCGTGTGTAGTTGTGTGTGTGTGTATGTGTGTGTGTGTGTGTGTGTGTGTGTGTGTGTGTGTGTGTGTGTGTGTGTGTGTGTATGTGTGTGTGTGTGTGTGTATGTGTGTGTGTGTGTGTGTGTCGCGCTCATGCTCGCCAAGGACTGGGATCTGGCGGACCATGTACACGAACATGATGGCCGACGTGTCCAACCAGTTTGGCTCTGATCCACTGCGTCCTCGTCAGACCCACGAAGTTGATGCAAACGTCGTCATCATCTGCCGCATCCTTCGCATTGCGTGGAACTTGTGGACATCGCCTGTGAGGACGATTGTCGTCATCGCTGCTGTCATTGTCAGGGTCGTTGTGTGATGCCATCAAGTCCTGCAGATCGACTTTGTAGTCAATGAGTAGATTGTGCAAGATGCACACCACCATGAACTCCCAGGAAATGGTCTTCAAATTCTCGATTTGTCGCCGTCCAAAATTCCTCCAGATGCCCTTCAGAATCTCGAATGTGCGCTCAATGACATTCCTCGCCATTGAGTGGACATCATCAAATGTGACATGCGTGGGGGTACGATCCCTGAGCGTGCTATGCGGAGTCATCAGCCAGTCGAGCAAGGGAAAGCCTGCATCTCCCAACAAGTAGGGTGCAATAGATGTGCCATCCCGCAACAACGTAGGCTCCCCGGAAAACACACCTTCGCCGCTCTCACCTTGAACGCAAAGACGGGACATTCACAACACGCGAGAGTCGTGGACAGATACCAGGCTCCCGACAAGGCCCAACATAAACATCAAAAATTCGGCACTGAGTCTCATGGTCGCAAATGACTTCTGCTACAATGGAGAATTGTCTTGTGCGATCGAAGCAGCACTCCGGACGTTCATTCCTGGGCTTTTCGATGTACAAATGGGTGCAGTTAATGGCACCCACACACCCAGGGAAGCCTTTGCGTTCAAAATGATTCATGCAGTCCTCTAAACGGTGTCCCCGTGAAAAAGGAGATGACATCATGATGAGGGTATTCCCTGACGATAGCTTCGGCCACGTCCTTGTTGCTTCGACGCGCACTCATAAGACCCATGCCCAACCCGTGACCTGACTGCCTGTAGTAACTGCCAGTCGCCCACCTGATGAGAGCACATGCAAATTTCTGCCCTGCCACAGGCTGCCTTCAAAGGCTGTCTCCAATTTGTGGTCTGGTGCTGTATCAGCGGACCGATGCGCTGAATCACTTCATGGAAGAGTGGATGTGGCAGCCTGCAGAATCTCATGAACACCTTGTCGTGACGGTGGCCCACATGCTGCAGGTCCTTCCAAACCCCCCCGCTCCGCTCCAACACCCAAATCCTCTTTCCGTTGTCCATCACCCTCTCCATATTCCTCATCGCCAGCCAGTTCACAACCATGCTATGACAAACACAACATGTAAGAAGTACCAAGCACTGCTGCAAGTCGGTGTTGAATACAGGCATTGAGGCTGCAGCCTGCAGCACAGCCATGACTAGTGCATTTCGCCTGTTCATTCACTGCATGATCACCATGATGGTCATGAACAACACATCATCATTGACTTCCTCTCCTCCATTACGTTGGCGCTGGTGTGCTCCTCCACTGTCCATGTGTGTCTGGATACCGCTTGCAAGAACAGGAGGAACAACTTCGAAAAATGTTGTCTTCTGACACCAAAGTCAACCCCACCGACGTCAGTGACTATGGCGCAACGACTCATGTACTTCGTCTGCTGAATGCGCGCAGGGGCGCGCAGGGCATCCCCATGTGCGGTGTTGATGACGATGCACTCGGAAGCTTCAAAGGGAACGGGTATGGCATTAGCAGCCCTGCGCCTCTGTGACGGTGAAGTGGTGGACAACTCCCCGAATCACAATGAACGGCCCAACGACAAGCGGTGGACAATTCCCCGAATCACAACGTACGGCCCAACGGCCTGGAACCCGATACTGGGGAAGGTATGACGCCTGCCTCCATATCGGTGCCGCATAGGAAATGCCGCACGGTCGCCCACTATCCACAACTGCCCTTCCATTACGACCACCGCCAACGGACCTGGAATACCCTCAGCGGCCCCATCCTTTCCCAAGAAGGAAATATGCCCCAAAATTTCCTTTTTAGGTAACCGGTGCCGACTCCATAACAACATTTTGCGGCGGCAGTGGGGTCCCCTACGTTTCATTGTTTCCGTTGGCGGTGGGCAGTCGGCTGGAAGTTGCGACTTCCGAAACCGTTTTCCGTCGTCTTGTGGGGTCCTACCCTAAGGCTCAGACCCCACCACCCGGCGACTGGAAAAACTTTGGCATGGAAGGGCGTTTTCGGACCCCACCGGGCCGCCAGGAAGTTTTCCAGAGGTCTGGCGACGTCGATTTCAGACCCACCGCCGTTTCCAAAACACCACCAGCCGTGTTTCTACATGGCTGGCAAAGTCTCCGTCCGCAGTCGGCGCTCTTTTCCCAAAACGCCCTCCAACAGGGTAGGGAGGGCAAAGCGCCAGCCGTTGGCATCGGAGGCCGTGGAGGAGTGGTGCAGTGAACGGGCGTCACGGACATACGTTTGGTCCAAGCCGAGACCGCACGAACGAAGTGCGTGTCGCACGAGAAATCAAAACTGGCCATTGGTGGTCCCCGGAGGTGGTCCCCCGTTGTGGTCCCGCTGCATTGCGAAACGCGGGAACACGCAATTCAAATTCCCGCGCTGCATTAACGGTTTTTTTCAAAATCCGCAACAAGTACTTGAGGCGGAGAGGAGGCAGACAGTCCATCGCACTGTCTATCGTTCATGTGTCCATGATTGCGCGTTCCCACCCTTCGTTGTCCGTGGTTGTCCTCTTCGAAGTGACGTGGGGTTGAAGATCGATCTGCCATGCGATTTCTCCAGAACATTGCTCGTTTCGGCCTTGGGGCTTCAGTCCGACGTGCTGCCACGTTGCACAAGAGTGGTCTGTGGGGGCGTCGTTGGACGCATTCGGATGCCTCCGCCGCGCTTCGAACGCTACTACAGACTCCTATGTTCAGCTCTGGACGTGCAGCTGCGCGAGCTTGTTTCCATCGAAGTGGGTGCGCTGATGTGGTGGTTTCTTCGACTATCCCGTCGTTTGCTTCGAGGGTGGTCCCACGCACACCCGCGTCGACGTCCTTTGTCGTCCACTCCACGCGATCTCCAGTCATCCTTGGAGGTCCTCCTTTGTGGAATCCAGTGGTGAAGGTTCGCAGTCCTCCCGACAAGCATCGGCACGTCAATACAGGGCACGTGGTGATCGAGCAGGGCACGGCTCCATCTGCACATTCGGCTTTTGGGGGGTGTCGACGGTGTTCGGTCACGGATTGTCCTGTCGTTGTCATTGTGGACAACGGGTGCAGTGTAGGTCGTGCAGGTGGTTTATCACAATTCGTTGTGGCCCTTGTGGGCGCAACAGTTGTTCTTGTCCTCCTCTTCGTAGTAGGGGTGTTGGTGTTGGCCACAATCGCTTTGTTTGTTTCCGTTGTGCTTGTGTCCAGGTGTTGGTAGTCGACCCCGACACGGGTGTGGCGACAGGTGCCGCCTTTCATTACCATTTGCCCGTTGTTGAAGCTGGCAAGTGGGCGATGGATTGCAGACGTTGGACGGGTGATGCCGACGTCGGTTTCGACGACGCTGATGACAAGCACGACGGACAGCTGCATGCACGGCCCCATCAAAGTCAGCAAGCGCAAAGCATGCAATCATTCACCACCACGCGTCAGACCCCATCGACCATGCAACATCCGTACTACCCCACACGTGCTGCTTCTCCGCCGACGCCCTTCGGTGGAGGGTGTGTTGGGCAGTCTCCGGAGAGCATGCACGTCGGCGTTCCGCGTGGTGGTCCACAGCCACGGGACATGCGGGCGGACGGGGGTTTCGCCGTACGTGATCATCCTCTGTCCGTCCACGAGCAGTTCGATTTGTATGCAGCGAGGGCATACGTAGAAGGCGCGAGCATGGCTGGGGGCTTCGGCATGCCGTCAACGCCCACACAGAGCATGCCCATGGGTGGCAGGCATTGGTCTCCCCAATGCAGCCAGGGCGCAGGGAGGTTGTTCGGCTCACAGTGTTCTCCATCTCCAGCGGGGGGCGTTGACACGGATGCCTCTTGGAATCGGCCGAACACAAGGCCTGTGTCCAGCGAGACTCACGTGGAATCAGCATTCAATGAAGGCACAAGCAGCTTCGAAGCAGGCGAGGAAGATGTTGAGGCAGATCAAGGAAGTGTCGTTCCCATGGTCGCAAGTTCGACGGGCGGGCAGGGTGATGTTAACGGTCAGGGTGCGGGGGGTGGAGCGGTCGGCGGACAACCTGTGAATGGCCGCCCGCCAACTCAAGAGAAGCCAAGCGTCCCATAGACTTTGGACGAGTGGGTGAAGCTTGCGACTTTGATGGGTGAGGATGATGCCCTAAATGTCGGATGCTAACAGCCAGCACCGATTCAAGCAGAGGAAAGACCGGTACGCATGGGTGAATGACAGGATGGTGGACGCTGGCATCAAGCACAGGAGCGGTGAAGACTGCCGCAAGAAGTGGTTGAACATGCTAGTGACGGGCAAGCTCATCGTCGAAAAGTGTGAAGCGTCTAGACAGCCGTCGTATTGGGATATATCTGTGGAGGAACGAAAGGAGAAGAGTCTCCTGCTTTCTTTTGAGAAGGCTTTGTGGGACGCTATGCAGTGGAAGCTAAATCAGTCGTCGATGAGGTGTGACAATACGCTGGCCTCGGAGAACCTTGAGGGCGGTGTAATAGATGCAACGCCGGCGGGAGGACCGGACGGAAGATGCATGGAGGAGTCAGACAATTCTGCTAAATCGAGGCGGACAGCCAGCGGGAAGGCGAGAAAGGAAGATGCCGACAGCAGCGTCTCGAGTTTCGGGAGGGCCATGGAGGATTCAACTCGATCTTACTGCGATGGCCTGGACAAAGCGGCCACCACCCTTGCCAAAGCTACCGCAGACGCGGGCAGTGCAATCGCTGCTCGGATAGGGGACGTGGCCGAAGCAATGCGTGGTGGCAACAGTGTTCTAGAGTTGCTAGTGGGTGTTCTCGCTCGGAGGGGGGCCAGCGGAGGTGACGGCAGCGAAGGCCATCGGTATACGGACCCTTTGTCGAGGTGATTAGTTTTTTTATTTCATCGTGTTTGCGCCTTGATAACTTTGTGTATATATATATACTAGCTAAGCGCCCGTGGTGCGGGCAGTGCGGGCAATGCCTGCAAAAAAAAAAAAACCAACTGCTAAATTTCAGCATTGTTAACAAATTCAAGGAACAGAACACACATAGAGAGACAGAGAAAGGGAGAGAGAAACAAAGAGAGAGAGAGAGAGAGAG